CAGTAAGGCACTATGTGCTTATGATATCGCAGATATTAAATTGCAGCTCGTGTGATTAAACCGAATAAAATAGTAGTCTCAAACCCAGTTTTGTGCTATGCTCTCGCAAGGACGCAATATGAGCAGGGCTAAGAGCTGAGAACAGAGCTCATTGATAATGTCTCAATTTATGAAGTGATGCTAAGATAAGGAATCTTTTGCCATACTCCACAATCTTAAATGTGTACTTTCATCGCAAGTTTGTATCATTACTGGAACAGCAGTGTGAATTATGTAAAATTCAAGATAAAATATCAAAAATAAGGGTAAATCTTTGAAAAATGTTTAAACAGTGGAAAAAGAAGGATGCCACCAACTTCTCGGCTTCGCTAAATGCCTCCAGCACTGTAGCGTTGGAGAAAACTTGTTCAGCCGACTTCGTTTCTTTCATAAGGCATAACTGAGTAAACTGCTCCAGATGTGCCAACACCTACAATTTTGCATTTTATGAGGTGAGTCTCGAGATAGAACGATAGCAATAACGATAACTAACCTGCTCCATTGATAATTTCTGCGGACTCTTTTTAGATGAACCTTTGGTGCTTCCACCCATGTGCAGATCCCCAGCAGCCATTTGTTTCTTCAGCAAGTTTCCGATATTATCGGATACTCGCTTGCAGGTAGATGGGTCTTCGATGAGAATCTAAGTGAAAATATAGTTGAAGTTGGAAAAATTCCAAAAAATAAGTACGACTAGCTAGGGCATTGCAAATTACCTTAATGCAATCAACGGTGAATGTATCGTCAGTTGACGGTGCTCGCGAGAACAGCGCTCGTAACATATTCATATTAGGATCACGGTCTAAAACAATACCGTGAAACAGATGTTCCCTTGGTAGATGGACCCACCAATTACTCTGACCTGACTTACAGCCCTTACCTGCTCGCTTCAGCATCAAAAGCACATTAGCTGCAGCCTCAGCATGCTGTGACGACTTCAGCTTTGGAAGAAGCTGAATCAACCACTCGCCTGGTATTCCTTCGGCATGCACTAAAGCTGGAACGCTCACCAAAAAGCTAATAGGATTTGGAAAGGACTAATTACCCAAATGCCAGAATGCCCACTGAGCTGTAGTCGGCCAATCCAACGATGCTGCAACTATCTGAGCAAATGAATCCTTCCGAAACAACGTCACATTTTCTCTAGAAGCAAGTTCATTACAAAGTTTAGCCGCAGTTAATTAGCGCGCCCTTATGCTTTATAGGTCTAAGCATGTTCAAAAAAGAGTGTAGACTTTCTCAAGCGAATTTGAGGAAAACAAAAGAAAGAAATCCAAAGCGAGAAAAGCAATGTTTCATGGGTTAGAGGAAGAAATCAATTTGG